AAGAACCCTAATCTGACTCTATATGACGTGTGCCAATTTTGATAGTAAATTATTCACTTTGCACTTGTGAGATGTGTAAAAATAAAAATAAAATACAATTATTGAGTTGGTGCTGTCCAATTGGAACTTTTTTACATATATCGTGTGGTACACGAGTCCTATTAAATAATAATGGCACCATTAATTGTTGAATAGAGAAAGTTTCTGATTTCTCATTTAATAGTTTTAATGTGATTAAACGAGAATTATTTTGAGTAAATATTATATCAAAAGATTTAATATATTAAGAGGAGCTTATATCTATAATTTGAAAATGTTTAAAGGAAATTTGAGTTGCTCGAAATTTAAAAGAATCAGGTCGTTATGGATATGAACTACTGCAATATATTAACTGTGTAAATGAATGTGTATACCCTTCTGATATATGATTATACATCATATTTATGGTTTTTAATGTATAAATGTTATATAGACATTATATATAGATGTGTATATATTTCTAATACATTGTTATATATTATATTAGAGTTGTCAATATGGGCTAGCACATCTTTTCCGAGCTAACTCATACAGACTTTAACATTTTACATATTAGGTTGGGTTAGTCTATTTTTGACATGGGTCAGGAAACGATCGGCTCAGTCAATAAGTACATGAGTTATAGGCTTGTCGGGCCAGTCTATTTTTTAAACTTTTTTTTAATATAATCATTAAATTAAATTATAAATTATAATTTTAAAATATTACCATAAATATCTACAAAACAATATTACATGATGCTAATGTTACTACTTGTTAATCAAATCCACAAACAAAACAAGGGATAACTTTAGAGACCTCCCTCCAAGTTCACTCTATAACACTCACTTTTCCTGTGGTTTACGATATTACGTCTACCTCCCTTATTTTCATTTTTTCTTGTAACCATTATTTAAATCTATTTAAAATAGATATAAATTAATTTAGATTTGACAACTTTACCTTTATATATGCAAGTTTAGATCTAATTTTCAACGATTTATCTCTATTCGTTTGATCATGTTTCTTCTTTGCTCGTGAAAATATTTAACTGGAACAAAATTTGATCGTTCTTATCGAATTTCTCTCTTGAGGAGTTCATTTTTATCTTCTATTTGAAGAAATTATTGTTGGAAAATGATGGGTTATTGTAGGGTAAAATCTACGTGAATTGATAAAGGTGAAATGGATATGAAGAGTTAATATTTTGTGACAATGGTGAGTCAGCTTAAATGAAGACTTTGATCTTTGTTTGATTTAAAAAATATCTATTAGTGCTGATATATTTTTTAAGTATTTGTAAAATAAGTTGTTTTTTATATAATATTATTAATACGAAGAAATTAATATATAAAGGGTAAAATTCTCAAATCTAAATTAATTTATGTTTATTTTAAATGGATTTCAAAGAATGGTTACAAGTAAATGAAAATAAGGGAGGTAGACATGATATCGTAAACCACATGGAAGATCAGTGTTATAGAGCGAAACCTGAAGGGAGTCTCTGAAATTATCTCATAAAATTATCTTTATAGTATTTATTAAGATTCTTACCAAGAAAAAGTATAAATATCTAAATAGAAATATTAACTTAATTGTTTTGAGTTTGGACTCTCTTTGATTTTCAATTTAAATATTTTATTATATTTTTAAATTATTTTTTAAAGGTCCACAAAACCCTACCTATAATTCTAAAGCCCCACAAATCTACAGGCTTATTCAGGTCGGGCTACTTAAATGGGCTCCAAAAATCTTATCAACACATTTAAATCTCAGGTTAGGTCAGGTCGGCCCAACAGGCCTAGCCCATATAGACGGTTGAGTGCATGAGTGTGTATGTGTGCGCATATGCGTGCGTGTTAATATTGTTGAAAAAGAAGAAAACTGACGATTGAAATATGTAAAAGGAATAGGTCCAACGAAGTTGAGTAAAATGTATACAATGAAGTATTGAAGATGAACGAAGTTGATTTTGGAACATGTCAAAGGAACATGTCCAAAGAAGTTGGCATTGCTAAAATTAGAGTTGCACTAGGATTAGACTGTTGAAGAAGAAGGAAGCTGACGAAAGGAACATGTCCAACGAAGCTGACTGACGTGTCTGAGGCAAGTGTTGATGAAGAAGAAAACTGTCGATTGGAACATGTCACAATCAATATAATCCTTGATTTCTCTAATCTTAGATGTAAGATTTTTACATGGTATCAGAGCTTAAAAGCTTTCCTCTCTCTGAGTATTGATAAAAAAATAAATCACACATTGCAGTGACCACTTCTACCAAAAATATGTTGACTTCCTTATTTCAACAACTCATTGTCACCTACTGCATTAAACTTAAGCCAGCAAAATACCTCATAAAGAGGACACACATATCTTAATTGATTCATGAACCAAGTAAAAGTAGTTGTTTCACTTGACAGTCTGCTAAGAAAGTTGTAGCAATTAAGAAGGATGCAAAAGATAGTGACATCATTGATGAGTGGAAGGAGAAAGATGTGTTGCTGAAGGATTGGATCTCAAACGCCTTAACTGAAGAAAGTGTGCACCTAATTTTGGACTGCTCAACTGCCAAGGAGATGTGAAAATGCTTGCGAAAAAAACTTATATTCAAGCAACAAAATTAATATATCTTGTTAGAAGTTTAGCTCTCAAATAAATACAAAACTTTATCATATTAGGTAAGACGTCATATTCCACCCTTTATCAATTTGATAATGCTCTCACAGACTTTGATACAAGGGAAGAGAAAGAAGAGGTACCAAAACAAACCTATAACACGGTATGATCTGCTCAAAAAGGCAGGGGAAGAGGAAACAACAACATCAACATACCTAATTACATTATTATTATTATTATAGCAGTAATAGATATTGTAGTAGGACTCTAAGTATAGTTAACTTAGGACTCTACGGTTCTTTCCTATGTAATGAGCTTGTAACTCAACATTATTTCCATCAGTACAATCAATACAATTCTTGATTTCTCTAATTCTAGATGTGAAATTTCTACATAGACTATTTATATCTATTAGGATAATATTTCGACTACGATTAAATTATAATTACAAGTATAGTATAACTAGGATTAGATTATTTATAATTTTATTAGTATTGTAGTAATATGTATTATAATAGGACTTTAGAATTTTCTCCCTATATAAAGAATATGTACTTAACATTATTTTTTTTATCAATACACTCCTTGATTTCTCTATATTTCTATAAATATTATTATAATTAATTTTAAAATTTTCTTTATATATATATAATGGAAGAGAGAAGTATTGAAAACATTTCTAAATTAGAAATGAATTATTAGTTTCATTTATACATGCTTAAATTTTTGTCAAATATTTCTCTTGACTTTTTATTAAAAATCTTATATCATTATAAGAGTTTGAAATCATCAAATATCGATTATTATCCTACGAAAATTTAAAATCACTTATTATATTAAAGATGTATCTTGTGTCATGTGTCGATTATTTGTATATAGCATGTGTTGTTAGAAAAGAGATGTCGCCCACAGAATGAGTCGATAAGCAGACGTCAGCTAACTATAGAAATTACGTAGTAGCTAAAATGTGTCCCAATTAATAACGTCAGAGCCCCTACCTATTCGGAGGCCTCTCTCATTTTCCAATTGATTCATTTTTCTATTCTCAATATTACCCCTACTACTTTCCACTATTACCGACCTACCCCTCAAATTTCTTTTACGCTCCCACGCGCCCTATTTCCTTTCTCTGCGCTACTTTTTGTCCGGGGTAAAACTCGAATATTCAACTAATCTCAAATTCAAAATCTTTTGATTATATGAATGAAAGAATATTTATCATTTTACATCAAGTATGAACTATGTTTAATCAAATAACAAAAATACTTATTTTATTTTAAGTTATTTGTTTGATTTCTTTTTTAATTCTCTTCGTGTTTAAATCCGTCTGCATGGGTCACGAGGTCAACTTTGTTAATCTTAAACAATTAGACTTTATGCAAATAGACAGAATAACGTGACATGTCTCTACGAAAATGCAAATATAGCTTGTAAAATAACTGAGATTTTACAATTATTTCAAACACTTTTATTAATATATAGAAAAATGTAATAACCAAATATAACCAAGGATGTTTGACTATTTAGAAGCCAAAATTCTTCATGAGTAGGTGTGCCGATTAGTGACTGACATGTTATGAAATAGACTCCACTTCCAAAATGTTATATTCAATTCATGGTTTTGTTAAATTACAACTCATGTCAGCGATGTTGAGTAACGATCGATGATAATTTCATACCTTTTCGCACTGTTAACCTTATCTTGACTTAATCATATATACCTCCTCCACATTTGATACGGTAGTTAAGGATTTATGAATTCATCAACCATCAATAGTTTTATGTTGAATATAATGAATAAAAAAAAATTAGCATTTAAAACCTGAAAATTAAATAAGAGAGAAGAAGTACTAAAAACACTTCTAAATGTGATGTCAATTATTAGTTTCATTCTTAAATTATAGATAATCATAAAATACTCATTTACCTGAGTAATTGAACTTAAATACACTACTGATTTTGTCACATAAATGAAATACACCCATAAACTATTGCCAAATTAGTGTTTCTTAATTTTTATTAAGTGTCTCATGCTCCGACAAGAGTTTGTTATATCATGTAGTAGATCGAGAGAGTATTTTAATTCAATTAATTTAGAACATGATTTTTTTAGAAGACTGTCAATAATTCAAAAACAAATCTAATAATTTACACTAAATTTAGAGATACTTTCTCCTTATTTTTAATATAATGAACAAGTATGGGTGAATTGATCGGATGATCTGTTTTGTCGTGTAGTAGCACCTCATTCTCACTTGCCCTCTCGTGCGAGTGATATAAATTTCTCACATAAAAAACCATACACCCCCCTTCTAATAAGACTAGGGGAGAGGGGCAATCCCCATAAACACAGCATAACTTACGTAGTATGTTACTTTGTGATGTAACATCATTTGCCACCTTCCCATTTATATAATAAAATCCCTTCCCTTTTCATTTCTACCTAAAACAAAAGAAAAAAATCAAAATCCTCTCTTTTGTACATGATGATGAAAACTAACCACTTGTACGGAGAAGGCGGGGTGCGTCTAGAACTCACCCCAACCACCACTTCCCCGCTTGCTATCGACGTGACGGAGTCTGCGGAGATGAGAATTCAACGTCTCATCTCCGAAAACCCCGTCGTAATCTTCACTCGTTCCTCTTGTTGCATGTGCCACGTCATGAAGAAATTACTATCTGCTGTTGGTGTTTACCCCACTGTAATTGAACTAGACGAAGAAGAGATCGCTGCCTTACCTACCTCAGCCGCCGAAGATCTTCACGTTAATAATATTCCCGCCGATGCTCCGGCGGTGTTCATTGGTGGGACACGTGTCGGTGGATTAGAGAGCCTTGTTGCACTTCACTTGAGTGGTCGACTTGTTCCTAAGCTTGTGGAAGTCGGTGTCATCACTCATGTGGTATAGTAAAATTTCCAATCTTTTTTATTTTTATCTAAATTTTCCACAATTAAAAACAGTTTCATCTTTAATTACTTCATAATGATTCTATTTTTCGTCTAGTACCAAGTGTTAATTAAATAATGGACTACTCTTTATCTGTATTTTAATGAAAGCTAAGTGTGTTGCTTTTTTTTTTTAATATATTTTTCTTCCCTTATTTGGGGATTTAATTTACTTTTCATCAAAATGACTAAATGGGGCAGCTATTATATAGTATTTTCATATTTTTCAGTCTGTATATCCCTAGCATTGACGAAGAATATTCTTTAATTATTTAACAATTAATTACAACTGTTAAACAAAATATTCAACCACTTACCATAACTTTGGGATCAACGCCCTAGCTTCTCCTTTTTATTTGACCGATTTATCAAGAAGAAATGTTGACGTAAGCCATTTGCTCAAAAGCAAAGAAAAAGGAACCTCTTTGAAATTTGAATAAATTGGAAATTATTATGATTTATAATATGTTTATATAATATATAAATATATAATTTTTAATTTTAAAATTAAATTTAAATAGTTTAATTCTTAAAAACTAAAAAGAATCATATGATTTGAGATGAGACAGTAAATGAATTACAGTCCTTATTGTTGGTTAATAAAATAGGTATTATATTCCATAAGTGGAGGAAGAGAGAGAGAGAGTGTGAAAAAGTATAATCAAAAGAAGAATAAAAAATGTGGAAATGAATCTTTGAGAGAATTGAATGATGGAGAGAGTGAGTAGAAGAAAAAGAGGAACCTTCAAAGTAATTGGTTGGCAATGAAAGAAAGAGCACAACAAAGTAAAGCAGCAGTTGCTTTGGTTGGTTTTGGTGCTTCTAACCTTTAACTATTTCCAAAAGTTTTTTTTTTTTTTTTTGAGAAAACTAGTTTGGTTGCCAGAATTTTTGAACTTTTTTTATGTTAAAAAAACCAGTGTTTTGGCATAAAAATTCTAACAAGTTGTTTGAAATTTAGACAACACTCAAAATCCTATTTTCACTCTTTCTTTAAAAATTTACTTTTAATTTTGTATATTAACCGTATTCAAATTATATTTTTATGTTTTTTTTAAAGTATTTAAATTTCAAATATTTATTATATGGTCAAACACAATTTGAACTTCTAACTTTGTTTTGAAAATCTTAAATTGAACGATTTTATTTTTCTCATGATCGAACACTACTTATGTGTTATATGTTAAGATGTGAGGTCTTGAAAATAAAACACCCAAGTTGTGTTTGGAGTAGGATTGCGAGTAAATTCAAAAATGTTCTTAAATAATGTGAAAGGAATAAAAAGCTCTCCATTTATAGTTTGATTCAAAAATGTATTTACGTTCAATACTTTGGTTAATATCTTTAAACTATGCCAAAGGAATAAAATATTCCTATTTGTAGTTTGACAATAATTTGATTCAAAAATACCCTTATTGATATTTAATGAGTAAAAAAACCACATTTTTCCAAATAAATGTTTTATTATTTTCTTTTGACACATTTTTTCTCAATTAATTTTTTTTTTAAATGAGGAACTGTTTATCTTACTATAATTTAGAAATAAAATAAAATATGAAAATGTTTTTAATTTTATCATCAATATTTTTTATTGTTATATAAATATAAATTAATGAAAGATATACTATGATCTTATATATATGACATCTATTATCTATCGAAAGAGCACATGAAATTATTATATTTTAATTGATAAAATAAGATTAAGAAGAAAAAGAATATTTCCTACATTTTTATTTGTTAAAGTAATCAAGAAAGAAAACAAGACTAGTGTTTCTTAATAATATTCTAATTAGGAAGAAGACGTGTTTAAAAATAAAAAGGACATTTTTGAGCAATTTTGTAACTATAGCAACATTTCTGGACTAAAATACTAACGGCAAGAGCATTTTAAAGTCAAAATATTAATGGTAAAGATATCTTTTTGAGCCAAACTATAAACAAAGAACATTTAAAACTTTTTTTCCCTTTTTTAACTCTTAACTAAAAAATTTATATTTGAATTTTGATGATCCAATGAAGAAAATAGCTTACTTTTTAACTAAGTCATAAGTATTACTAATTCAAATTAATTTGAAGTCTTAGAATCATATACGGCATAGTAAGCAGGAAATAATAAATTATCTTGAAAATGAAATAGAGAAGGGCCGACATTACATAAATGCATAACTCAAAAGATCTACGTCGTCTCTTGTAGTTATTGTCGTCATTGCGGGGCAGCGTCATTTCACGTGTATTGCTTTTTCTTCTTTCTTTTTTTTTCACTTCGTATTTAAATTTCATGTTAAATTTTCGATTAAATTTAAATATGCATGATAGAAATAATATTTTTAATAGAATTTTTTCCATATTTTTTATTCGAATCTAAGACCTATTGTTAGCGATTGTTTTTTTACTTTTTTGCGATCAAAATTTGGATCCATGTTTGGTTGCGGTAACTCATCTGAAATGTACACTTGACTTTCTCCATTTTAATATATGTGTATGATTTTGATATAATATGAATTATAACAAAATAAATATTTTTATGTGAAAGTATTTTTTTTAAAGAAAAATCAGAAAAAAGAAAGAAACATTTATTTTAAACTGGGCAAAAAAAAATTAAAATAAAAAGTTAAGTAAAATATATATTTTTGAGTTTGTATCGTTTGAGAAGACTAGATAAACTACAATTTCTCAATCGAACTCATCACCCAAAAAAAATAAAATCGAATAGATAAACAATTGAGGAACAAATTATTTATTCAAAAACGGTCCAAATGCAGAGAATTAAGGGAAATAATAAGTATCATATTTGTGGTATCTAAACTATGATATCAATGACTTGTTATTGCTATTTGTAATTTATATGATTTTTTTTCAGTCTAAAAAAAGAAATATTTTTATATTTAATATGTCACCTGTGGTAGTATATGAGACACATTCAAATTTCAAAATTCGGGTAAATCTTTTTACGTTATTTACAAACATGTAAATTTCACTTGAAAAGATTTGAAGATTATATGCACATATTTTCGATTAGAATTCAATTATTTAACTCTCGAAAAACGAAAAATGTCACATAAATTATAGCGAAGGAAGTAGCAATTTAACTTTATAATATCAATTTACCTTAATAGAATAATTTCTAACCACACAAATATGAATAATTTATATTACAACCTAAAAATCAAAAACCTTCTTTTCTTTTTTACATATACATGTCAAATTAAATTAACTCTTATAAATTAAAACGGAAATACCGTTTATTTATGAAAAGACTTCCTTTCTTTTATGTTTTTTTCTTCTTTTGTTTTTTGTTCAAATTTTCATGGGGTTATATAATCTGAAAAATGTATAGGAAAATGTTCGTACTGTTTTTTATTTGATTTTGATTTTACAAATAACTTTTTAAAAATTAAAAATAATTAATGCAATTTAAGAGTTTCGTAAAAAACACTTTTTAAGATTGAACATAAGTGAAGATGTCATCGTACGAGATATATAGTGTTCAGGTTTTGTCAAAGTCATGAAAGACGCATGCATGTGTATGTAATGAACAAACAAATAAAATAAAAAAGTACTTCACAAAATATTACTGTAAATAATATAGATCATGTATATCAACTAGTACTGAGATATCAATCTTACACATCTTTATCTCTATAAAGAAATGTGTACTATTGTGCAACTATTTGTTTTTTAGTATCCTTTGCTCTTTGATTTGATATAATATCTCTTTTTTTAAAAAATTTTGTGATTTAAAATTATACTTAAAAATTCTTATGGTTGTCTACCTGATTATATTATTAATAATAAAATGAGAGTTTAAATTAAATTGTTTATAAATATAATAAGGTGACATTTTTTAAACAAACTAAAAATAAAAGAATGTTATAAAATAGAAGGACAGAACAAATAGTGTTTAAAAACTATTTTGATTTAAAACACTTGAATTAAGTCATCCAATACAAGTTTTAAAATTATATAGAGATCAAATAATTTCAACCAAGTCCAAATCATCCAATGTTCAAAAAGTACGTTCCTAATAATAATGCTTGAATCACGAAGAAGAAAATTCAGATACAAGAATCAAGAAAAGAAATATATTTGCATTCACACCATTTTATTAAAAAAATGTTTTTTCATTTATTATAATTTAGTTTATATCGCCTTAAGATTTATTGCAAATTTTTTTTATTAAAAATCATTTGTAATTAGAAGTTTAACAAAATCAATCAAAGGGTATCTGATGATTTTCTTGCGAATACTAAAGCATAGTAATAATTTGTTTTAAGTGTTACTTTCTCCTTCCATTTTTAATTGTCAAGATCTTTCTTTTAGATTCATATTATAAGAATTTTGATTAATATTTTACGATGTGTTTTTATCATATTAATATACAAAAAATCGTACATATATTATTTTTCATATAATTTTTGAATATCTATTTTTTAATTTTAATATATTAAATTAATATAATCTATAATTTTAAAAATTAATTAAATAACTTTTGACAATCATAATTAAAAATAGACGGAAAAAGTATCACAATATAGTAATAAAAATTTAAATATTAACAACTTCCATAATTTCGTCTATTAGTGAGGAAAGTCATTTTCTTTTGTTTGATGAGAAATATTTACTTTAAGATATATTATTTGATAATCAAACATCTAATAACTCCCTGAATTAGATTGTAGTAAGTTTTATGTGAATATGGTTCAATCATCTAGAAGGGTATGGATGGGTGGTTGTTCAACCAATACCACTACTATTGTTAGTGTTGATGAAACGATAGTGATATTATAGTACCAATTGTTGGTTTACCTCCTTTTGTTGTTTCACGCAAAACGTTTGATATCGAAATTAAAATTTAGGCTTAAGTCATCTGCAGCCACTCAAAGTTGTCCGCATAATTCATTTAGACATCTCAACTAAACCTTGTGCCAATTGAACACTTTATTTGTTCAAAAGTCATTCTTATCAGACACAAAATGCTGACATGGCAAAAAACGTGTAATTCACTTTCTTTGAGCGCGTTAATTTATTAAAAATAATATTTTTCCTTTTTCTTCTCTTAATTTATCCCCTAAGTTAATTTTTTAAAAATTTAATTAACAAAAAAGAAGAAGGATAGTTGTCTTCTTCCCTCTTTCTATCATATTATTCTTTCACCATTTTTATCTTTTTTTTTTACACAGCACACTACACTCCCTCCACCTCTCTTTCTCTCACCCTCATTGTTCTTTCCTGCTTTCTTTTTTTTCTTATATCAATTTTCGTCTCAAATATCTCGAAGAAGTTTCATTTACAATGATAAAAAAATATGAATAAATTTTTTTGAGCAAAAGTCTGTTAATTTTTTTTCAATTCTAATAAATAATTTTTAATTTTTTTTCAATTCTAATAAATAATTTCTAATGTATAAAAGATGAAGACAATGTGTGAAAATTTTAATGCTATTGAAATGAAAGAGAATGCATATAGCTTGAATAGACAACAATGGTGTGTCATTGTAGCTCCATGGAAGAGAAGAAAGCGATGGAGCGACACCAACTCCATGGAAAATTAGAAATGAGTTTCTGAAGAAGGAGGAAGAAAGTGGGGAGGGTGGAGGCTTTAATTATTTTTTTTAATTTTTTAAAATACTTTATGAATTAATTATATAAAGGTTTTAAAAAAAATTAAATGTAATGCCACGTGTCATCATACTATTGGTAAAATTAATATGAAATCGCGTTTGAGATACACGCATTTTTATTTTTCAATTGATTGTCAGTTTGTGTCAAATAGGTATAAATTTTTTAAGGTTTAAGTGTTCAATAGGTACATTGCTTAGTTGAGGTGTTTAAGTGAAATATGAGGACAACTTTAAGTGGCTATGGATGACTTAAGCCTAAAATTTAACTATTTTTAATTTATATCTCTTTCAAAAGGAAACATTTATTATAAAGAAAAATTATATATTTAATATTCGAATTTAAAAATTTTGATTAAAAAATGAGCAATATCATTTGCTGCACCGCAAATTTGCTGTTGGTTTACTTACCTTAAAGGCCGAACCACAATAATGTTTTTTTAATCCTCTGTCCGCTTTCCCCATTGATATATAAGGTTAGGTTTGTTATTAAGGAAAATATATGAAAATTAAGCGATTTAAGAAATATTGTTAGTATTTAATAAATAAATAAATATTAATCTATCAGTGTAGTCTCCAAAACAGATACTAAAATATGAGATTTATAGTACTTATTATAAGTTGATAAAAAAAGGGTTTTTTTCTCGATACAACAACCCCTGATTCTACGTTATATTTGTTTTTTCCTTTTCAATATTTGTATTGGGGTATATATTTACTACCTCCAATTAGAGTACCTTAAAATTTTCAATCATAGTCCATGTTGGTGAATAATCCTCCGTTAGTTGAGAAGAGACTGAATTATTTATAATCTTGTGAGGTGTAGTTGGAAATCAAAATTATGTTATTATTTAATTTAATTTATCGAGCTTAACGAAGTTCTAAAAAAATATAAAGCATAAAGTATAAGTCAAAGCTCACTGAAGGTTTCGGTGCAACACAAAAACATCTTCTATCTGTTGTGATATACACTCAACTAAGAGCAAATATCTTTTCCCATCCAAAATTAAACACATAATTTTGAAAGAAAATAGTAATATAAGTGATAGGGATATCAATATATAGGACCAAAATAATCTTATTAATCCCCGCCCCATTTATATTGACTCCTCCTTTTCCTGAGTCAAATAATACTTCTGATACAATTATTCATATTCTTATGAAAAAAGATTATATACTAATTTGAATTCCATCCTACCCTAATTCACTAAAAACTATTTAACAATAATATTTTATCATGCTTCACCCTACCTTACCTTAATTAAATTAAGTGATGAATGATGACAATCACCCACTACAAATAATTTAAACACTGTTCCACAACCCATGACCCCCCACCAAATTTGGTATGTGGAATTCTATGTGGCACCAACTCATTGGTTCATTTTATTTTTGTTCTCATATTAGAAGAATCTTTAACAACAGCCCAACCTCAAAAAAGAATCTACAATTGAATCTAAGAAAAAAGTACCCACCAAAGTGCCACACCTTCCAGCACTCAATCATGCAAAGTGATGAATAGTGTAATGCATTATTATTATTTTATCAAAATACTTTAATATTTCATCAAGAAAAAAAGAAATGGGAAACAGATCGATTGCAACCTAATGATTTCTTGTGCCCCACTTGCAAGAAATTTCTTAACGACAAGGTTTTGTTATCACATTAATTTTAGTCAAAAGTTGTGAAACTTTTTAAGGTCTTCATTACATTTTGAAGTTTATAATATAAAATTTATATTATTCCTAAATAATAAGTTCAAGTTTAAAATTGTTAAAATTTTAATGAATTTTGCACACATACATATATGTTCCACCTTATAAATAATGAATTTGGATGAATATACTATCGTGGAAGAGCCCCTATTGATGCAGGACCTCATAAAGAGATTTTTTTTTTTCAAGTATTGAATAATAATAATAATATGTTAGTGAAAAAACTTACAAGATAATAAAATTGCAAGATTACAATTGAAAATAAAATGAAGAAAGTAATCTCTTCAGGCTGAGGCGCGGATATCTCGCTCTCTTTAAGGAGATTCAAGCCCACTGCAGCAAATGTTTTCACCGGTCCAGCAATAGTCCTCTTTGACTTGTCCCCTCCAGGATACGACAGCCTTCAAAAAGTACAACTTAACAACTCTGGACAAGAGTTGAGTCCAAAGCTCCACAAAAAAAAAAAACATCTCCCTTCAACTAATAAGAACTCTCTTTTAGACTAACTCTTTCGCTCTTTGTTTTCTCTTATGAATTGTGTGTATCTAAAACCAAATGAAGACTACCACTATTTATACTACAAGAAGTCTTCCTAGCAATGAATAGGAAGATAATGGAGGTAGTAAATAGTGAAATAATGGTCTTAGGAGTTTCATAGGTTACAATGGGAGTTACATAGGTTACAATGGGAGTTACATAGGTTACAATGGGAGTTACATAGGTTACATAGGTTACAAAGAGTAAAGGAGGAATTAAGAATGAAATACATTGATGGATAACCAATGCTAATGGATGATGTAGAAGTCATCCATTCCAATGTTCATTCTTATAACTCCAAAATAAAGCAATTTAATATGTTAAATATTAATATTAAAATGCTAATAACCTAACATAATATACACCATGCAATTTAAAAGTGATTTAGAAAAAAGATGGAATGTCCATAAATTTTATGAAGTAAGAAGATAAGCAATGCAAATTATGTGAAGTTAGAATAATAAAACATGAATAACAAATTGAAAAGATTGATGTAACAAAATTAAAATAGTATTGCAATGAATTTGATAAATTGTTCTAATGATATTTAAATAATGTTTTGACTTGTTACAATGCTTTGATATTTGAAGAAGACACCAAGAGGCAATTTGATCTTTTTGTGAATCCACAACCATAGATTTTGAATAATACAAAAGATTGATTGTTTTGGAAACTTCAAAATATTAAATAATAAGAGGATAAAAATATTGAAAGAGGATAGAAAATAATATTATGGGTTCAGGTCAATCGTCAGGATACAAATGAGAAAACATAGATAGCCTCGTAAAAAAGGACACAAAATCACCTAAAAAATATTTTATTTCTCAACTATTACAACAGTCACCGCATCAAATAAGACAAGAAAAATATTACTTTCTACCAAAGAATTTTTCTTAAATGAGAATTTATACAGAGAGAAAGAAAGAGAGAACACAATGAAATTTTATTGATAAATTTATATTAAATTTTGGACTAATCCATGGATATATTGATCAAGTCAAATTACTGGTTAACAAAGTCGAATTAATATTTAAGTAAAAATTTATGATTTAAATGAAGTCCAAATCACATTTGGATCACTCTATTAAGTTAACAAGACGAGCCCAACACATATTCTTCAAGTCGAAGGACCAAAATTTCTTGAACGAAAATATCCCTAAAACCCTAACTCAAACATATATAAAGAGGTCTTGATAAGACCAAGAGGAAAAAGAAGAAAAAGTAGAAGACACATAGAAATACATTGAAAATCCCTGCTCTTCACTAGTGATGTGCAAGTCTTCCATATACAAAGAAGTCCTCTATACAAGTGTTGAGCCGCAAGTACAAAGAAGTCTTCGCTTCAAAAGTTGAGCCGCAAGTATTCCATCAAATCAAGAACATCATTGAAGAGAAGAATCAGGGGATTACATGCCTTTTCTGAAAGATTTTAGAAAAATTGTAACCTTCGCATAAATTCAAATACAAATACTGTTGTTTGCTTGATATTTTTCTTTCCTGTTTGTTGTGTTTTAGAATTGAAACTTTAGACGCATACAAATTGGCACACTCAATAGGATAATCTTTACCTCTCATGTATTCTCTTAAAAAATCAAAGTTAAAAAGCATCGAGATGACTTTCAAGAATATCAAATTCAAAATCTACATCTGCATTTAATGCATTTGTATCCACATCTGGATCTGGATATGGATCTGCATCTACAAAAACTGATGGATCCGAATTCTGCATTTATGTGGAAAACATTCTTGATGTTACTGCAGAATCATGAGACTTGTCACAAGTAGCCAAGTAAAATTGCTAGGACAATAAGCCTCACGAGTGCCGTACAAATATGCTATTGTCTCGTCTTCAAAAGGTGTAAAGTCTCATGCAAAATCCGTAAAAGAAAACATTGTTGAAATGGTCTAGAGGGTCCTTGCCCAATTGAGTCTATCTACATCCAAAAAGCCTTTCGACCAATTTTAATGTCTTAAGCACGGTATCTCACCCACATAACATGGTCACATCTCATGTTTGAAAAAACCAATTATTCTCCATCACCTATGATGATAATGCAAATAATGATGGTCGAAACTTCTACCATAGAATAACAACTTGCAATTTCGACGAAAGCAATTGAAGGCCTATAAAAGTAAATCAAAGGCCAACCATTCAAATTACCAAGTTGACAAACATGATGGAGAATATGGAGAAAAGATAATCCACGCAATTATGTGAAAATCTTCATGAAACTCAAGAGAAAATAGAGTCCTTCACAAAACAAGAAACAATCATCAATGTCACAATCCTAGTTTTTCCTCAAAAATTATGTTTATATTTGAAATAAAAGAGTTTTTCCAATTAAAGTGACATTTCGAAAAAAGATTATTTTAATTATGCAGAGTCGCCACTTGAAATTGAGTTTTGGTGTCCAAGTCACCTTATATACAATTTCGGCATCTAGCCACCTTATAACTTCTTTTCTAACCCCTTTTTCATCACAGGGTTTAGACCGTGTTGATGTTTGTGCAGCGAGTTTGTTATCTTCTTCCATATAAATTTTGTGCATACATAACGCTGGACTGATCCCATGAATATCAACCATCTTTCAACCAATTGCTTTCTTCCGCCGCTTTAGTATCCACAGTACAGCCTCAACCTATTCATCTGACAATTCTGCAATAAGTGTAACAGGCAAAGTTTCATTAGTACCCAGATATGCATACCTTAGGTGCACCGATAGGGTTTTTAGTTCCAACCCAGGTGCTTCCTCCATCGATGATTTTGGTGGAGGACCCAACTCGCGATTTAATGACTCCACTTGAGTTCTGTGAGTCTCTACTAGAACTAGATTTAAACATGATTTCATCTCTTGAGCTTCAATATCCCCTATAACTCATGACTGTCTAACACTTTTTTTATGGATCATTAGGTACAATTACATGTTAATCTACTATGTGATCAACCACCGTAATGGCCGACAACTCTTCATAGATAGAAAGAAGTTTTAAAGCACGATAGACATCATATAATTCAACCTTATAATGTGCCCTCATGGTTAGTTGACCAGCTGCTACATCAATTAATGCTCTATCTGTGGCCAAGAAGGTCTTGCCAAAATGAATGGGACTTCAGAATCGAGTTCAAAGTCTAAGACCACAAAATCTACAAGAAAGATCAATGACTCTACTTGTACTAAGACATCTTCTACCACTTCCTCCGGCCTAGGAATGGATCTATCCGCAAGTTGGAGAATAACAGTGGTTCTTTTCAGACTACCCAACCCAAGCTTTTGATATAAAGATAAGGGCATCAGATTTATACTAGCCCCTAGATCACATAACCCCCGGGCGTGAACACTTTGCCCAATGGTGATTTGCACAGTAAAAGTGAATCTTTTAAATTTTTGGGCAGTCTATTTTGGACCCTTGAGCTGCACTCCTCCGTAAGTGCTACAGTTTCATACTCTATGAGCTTTCTCTTGCTTGCCACAATTTCCTTCACATATTTAGCATACTTCGGGATACCCAGCAAAACGTCAAGCAAAGGTAGATCAATGTGAACCTATTTAGGAAGAGAGAGAGAGATTTACCGAAACATTCATCTTCATTCTGCTTCTTTAGACTTTGTAGAAAATGAGGTGGTAACTTCTTTTGAAGAACGGGTTCTTCAACATTTGGGCTTTTCACTACCTCTTCCACTTTCTTCTCCTTGGTGTTTACCTCGTTGTCCCCCTTTCTTGGAGCTAATTCCTCCAATTGTAGTCCACTTCTAGTACTCACATCATGTAGTTGCCTTAGATTAAGCTCAGTATCACCGGGCAACCCACTTGGGGACGCAAGTCCAAAGAATTTGCCACTTGCGCAACTTGTTTCACTAAGCTCATTCGGGACATTTGGATGTTTCTAATGTTCTCATCTTGCTTATCTATTCTAGCATTCACATTTCAGACATGATCTTTAGGAACAGTTCTTCATTGGTCATCCCCGTTTTTGGTGCGCTTGGGTTTATACTTTAGTTGGGGTTCTGGTATTGTTGTCCAGCCCCTTGGATTCGGTATTGGTTGCACCTTGTGCATGTTTCTGATTTTGGTTTCCACCCCAAGAGAAGTTAGAATGGTTTCTCCAACTAGGATTGTAACTATTACCGTAGTTTTGTTGGCTTTGGCCCCTTTGCATATTCCCTACGTAGTTAACAGAATTTGGGTTTGCCTCACATTGCTCAGTCTCATGGGCTGCACTACCACATACCCCACACCAATTTACTGTTTGTTGCACCACATTTAGAGCTGCTTGATTTAAGGCCAACTGCTTAAACTGAGCAGTCATAGTATGCTGTTTTGCGTCTATCTTAGCATTTAAATTCGTAGTTTGGTCTATGTATAAGATCCCTGCATCTCTTTGAGTTGTGGTTCGAGAAGTATCACCTTCATACCCTTCATTCCCTTTCGACAGTTTATCAAGCAAGTCAAAGAATACTTCACTTGTTATGGACATGGCTTGTCCACCAGCTGCACTGTTGAGAAAAGAACGAGCATTATACTCTAAACCCTCAAAGAAAGCGGGAGCTAGAACTTCGTTAGTCTGCATGTGGTGTGGGAAAACATTCAACATTTGCTTGAAGCACGCCCAAGCTTGGTTCATGGCTTCCCCATTCCTTTGGACAAAGTTTGTTATCTCACCTCTCAGTTTGACAGTTTTCTTGGATGGGTAGAATCGACTTAAGAACTACTTTGTGAGACCATCCCAAGTAGTGATAGAGTTCGGTAGTTCAGAATCTAACCACCGTCTAGCATCTCCTAACAACAAGTATGGGAATAGTGCTAGTCTCACATAGTCCAATGATACCCCAAGTTGAATATATGTATAAGTGACCTCCGTGAAATTTCAATTATGAAGTTAAGGATCTTCATGAGATAGACAAGAAAATTGTCCATTAATGTGGAGCATATGTACCATGTTTCTTTTTAATTTAAACCTCCCTCTTGGTGGAGGTTTCCTAATACTTGATGCTAAATTAGTGGTGAGCGGGACTACCACATCTCGCACTGGACGTGCTGGAAGGATAGGAACATGAGGGGGTATTTCTTGGTTATCAAAAATTTTCAGATTGTTCGAAACCCTTGGGTTATTCACATCTTTCGAAGGGTCATGCTGATCATCACCATGATTGTCTGAATGTCCTAACCCTAATTCTCAACGATTCATCTTTCTTAGCAGACACAAACTTCTTTCAGGTTCGTTGTAAGGCTCAACAAGATCTCCCTTCCGAGACAGACTTTAAAGTCAAATTTTTGCAACAAAACGAGCTAAGATCAAGTATTTAATACCTGAATATTCAAATTGTAGACTTAGGAGAATTAAATATAAATCAATTTCTAAGTCCCTGGCAGCGGCGCCAAAAACTTGTTGCTCTAAATTGCACACGCAAGTGTACGTGGTCGCAAGTAATATAGTTTCTTTTGAAATGAGTTACCATTCCCGAGGGACTTATGATCAACTTATATCCGCACTTAATTCCACAATCAATCAAGAAAAGTAACTACTTCGCAGGTTGAATGTTTTATGGCTAACTAACTATTTAGGTATTAAATTTAAAATAAATAATAATGAACAACTTTGATGAGATGTTTCAAGCAAGATTAAAAGCAATTCCAGAGCTACAACTTATAATGAACATCATGTATCATACGATCGGCTTAGAACTAACTTCAGTTGTCAAATTACTGATTTATAGGGTTAATGGTATGATTCGAGTTAACCACCTCTCGTAGCATACCCCAGTTAGCTATCTAACTACATCGTTGAGCGGGGTAAATAAACTAACTGGCGAGCATTTATATTGGGCATCACTCCTGAACACTAATCGCCTCAAATTAATGGGCTGACCGAGCTTTCTATATTCACCAGTCTATCTAACCTCTTCTATGGTCATTTCGAGCTTAGACACTAGATTTATTCCTAGATGGCCAGTCAAGAAATAGTAAAGCAAGAATAAAGAAGTAATTTGAATTGACAACCAAAGATTAATTCACAAAGCTTCACATAATAAACAATTAATTCATAGTTGCAACCCCAGATTTAGGGTGTTTAGATACTCAGTCTCATATTAATCAAGAAAGAATAATTGTTCATAACAAATATGTAAAATAGAAGAGTTAAGATGATTACAAACTTGATTCTTGCCCTTGTACACTCAAAAAAGATCAAACCCTCAACATAGCAACCCTAGAATCATCCGTGTTCAATCTTTCGCACTCCAAAAAAAAGATTTCAATTCATTCCAAGCACAAATATTTATTCAAACATGATTCTAAAAGCATGATTTCTTCCATCTCTCTTGATTCAACGACAATTAATCGATTTGGAATTCATAATTTCAGGCATTTCTCAAATTTATGGAGTAATCGAATAAATAACATTATTAAGAAAAATAAAAATTTAAAATACATAGTAATTTCCTTAATGTAAAATGACTTCTGCAAACACCAAGAGCTTCTGTAAATCCTAATTTGTACAGTGTGAAGTATCACTATATGTATTTTTGTTAAAAATCTATCTTTTGTAAATAATTGTCTCAAATCCATCTGCGACTTTGTTGATAAGCGCCGATCCAAATCGGTGTTAACTAGCCGGTGATATTTAGATTTCTCCAGACATGCGAGGCACAGAGTGTAGAATACTCGAGAATGTAGCTAGCTTGGTGAAGGTATCATTAAAGTTCTAGATTTTTAACTTTTCTACTTTCCATATTTTTCAATTTCATCAGCTTTAGAAATAAAATTTTTAGTTTCTTCTTCTTTATGAATTGAAATTTGTCCAAATGTAAAATTACGTATTTGCCTTTCTTGCTTTTGAAATTGAATTTTTTTTCATTTATTATTAATGTAAAAATATACACACAAGGATATAATTGTCATTTTACTTGATATTTAATTTATTTTTTATGTATATAATATAATATTTTACTTTTTCATTAAATCTCTTCTACGTGGCTAAATATTAAATACACATTTACAATATATTTTTCGTCTGAAAATTTTCATCATACCTTTAAATAAACTTTCATCTTCATTTTCTCAACGATAATTCATCATCGTTCATGATATCAAGTTTGTTTAGTCCTCTTTTCTTTCAAATTCCAGGTAAGTTCTTTTTCAATGTTTTGTCCTTCTCATATTATCTTTTTTTCTTATTCATATATCTGTCCCTCGATTTCTGTCTATGTGTAAATAAAAGCTCCAAACTTTACTAAGCATTTGAAATAGAGTTCGATACACATATTGTTTCATGGTCAGAAAAATAAAGCATGATATGATGTCCTTAGAGACATAATCTTGATTAAATTTTCATAAGAGGTAGAAACATCGACTTGAACTGCTTTGTTGTTATGACTAGAAGTTTCAGATATCCTGAAAAGACCAACAGTATTAGAAGCATAAGTTTCATCATTCAAGACAATTTCTCCAATATGATTTTTATATCCAGAGCTTAGTCCACCCTAAGACTGCAAAATGGACCGGAACGGAATCACCGGACCAAAATGAATCTGTACCGGATCGAAACGGAATGAGTTTTGACCAGTACCAAAATGAACCAGATCAAAATTGTCGGGACGAATAATTGATTTTGTTCCCTACCACTATAAATCGGGATGAAACTGGAACGGACCAAAGGAACGGGATGGGATAAATGGGATGACACATCTAAATATTTCAAAAAATAATTTTTTTAATTACGAAAATATGGATTTTTTTTTATTTTTCTCAGTTTAAATTAATAGTTTTAAATTTATAATGTAATTTTTACTTGAGTTTATTCGAAAGATATTTTTTTAAAAAAAATTACTTATTAAGTGTGCAAGTTAAGTCTAATTAAGTTTTCAAGATTTAAATCTTTTGAGGTTTATAAGTTATTACTTATTATTTATTAATATGTTATAATTTATAAGTTATATTTATAACTTGTAGTTTAAATAACTTAAATTTGTAATTTTAAAAATTAAATAAAAATAAGTATAAAACAATTAAACAAATTATAAACTCTTAATAGTGATTGATATGCATTGAATGATATTGTGAAGTTTTCTATGTACTTGATTGTGTAATTGTGTGGCTTTGTGGTGTGTTTTGTGATTGGTCTGAAATCCTGAGACCGTGAAATTTATAATCTTGAACCGTCTTTATTGAAGTAATGCCTTGAATAAAGAAGGGTTAATGAAATATTATCAATGAATTGAAAGTGGTTATAATAAATGATAAATTAATGACATTATTGGATCGGAGTGTCACGTTTCGACACGGTATAATTGGATCGGAGTGTCACGTTCCAACACGGTATAATTGGATCGGAGTGTCACGTTCCGACACAGTAACATTAAAGGAAAAGGATATTGAACTAATTTAATGTACTCAATCTCAAAGAACCCATTTCCCAACGAACGTGGTGTGGAGGCATGAGTCCTCGTGTGTGCTTGATATTGTGATTGATTACGTACTTGCTTCAGTTGTCACTTGTTCATGTTATTTTTTGCTTATCACCTGTTAAGTACTATAGTTGAGTTCATATTGTTGTTCATTGTATATTAGTTTCTATTTTGGGTTGACCGATGATACCTACTTAGTACATGTTGCCCCGTACTAAGCCCTAGTTGTGATTTTCTTTGTTTTACTTTTACGGAGTGCAGCAAGTGTAACAACGAATTTGACTCTCCCTCAGCTCTAGCTAGTCTCCAGCATATCAGATTCCAGGGTGAGCTATTTGTTCAAGCTCATGTTGGATTCTATCGGTTATGACATGATGTCCTATGTTTTTGGACACATACATTTTATTCTTTTATTTTGGTGTATTTGATACTCTTAGACTTAGTATTTAGAGTTTAGATGTTCTTGATGTGATGAACGTCAGGTTTTGGGAAACGATATTTAATTAGATTTTGAGCTTTCACATTATTCTTGTATAATATAATTTAAGTTTAAATTCGTAGGTTCTCCCACCTAGTTAGTTAAGTGTGGGTGCCACGCACGATTCGTTTTGGGTCGTGACATTATAATTGTGAAATATGATGGAGATGTATGTTTGTCCATAGTCTTAATGAACTATTTGTTGTTTGTTTTCTTCTTTGACTGGTGACTTTAAAATATATTAGAAATGATAACATTTCCTTGCTTAGTGCTAAAAAAGGTTAGCCTCATGTCTGGAGAGAACATGGGGACATGAAAAAAATAACAGTAGTGACATGAAGATTATCACATCAGAAAACTACTATGTCTATACCACTTATTGAAGTAAGACTAATATTCACTTGTAGTGGATTCAAAGTTTCTTGTAGGGAAATTTGCAATGATTAATAATTTGTTCAACAATCAGACAATTTTTTATAAATGATCTTACAAAGTTCTTCGATGTTACACGTTAAATTTTTTGTATTTACATGAGTGTCTTTTTCATGATATTCACATAAAAGACCATCGCTTTAAGTTATTCATTCAATCTACAGAAATTACACTCTAGGAAAATTTAATCAAGATAATTGCAATACAAACCGTCTGAAAATACTAGTTTTCTTCAAAAGCTCATAGCTTTACCAAAATCTCAAATAGGTAGGGACCTAAAAGCCAACAATCAACAATCTAGAAATACAATAATAAAGATAACAACAATTATGCCCAAGTCTAAAACATGTAGGGTCGGCTATATGAATCCTCATTGACCATATTAGAAAATAACAATATTATGGTGTGTTGAAAGCTATGTTGCATAGGCTCTTCACTTCGAATGTCCCACACGTGTCAGATTCTACACCCACCTGCCATTTTTGAAAAGTTCGAGCAACATATGTTGAAAGATACAATGTTCAAAATGTGTACTTGTAAGACATAATCTGAAGCATTATATTGAATTGAATAATCCTGTTTACAACTGCATTCGGGCTTGTTTTTCATAGAATTTGTTTAATTATTGCACTCGTTAAGAAGCTGTCTGAAGTTGTGTACAGGATTCAACTTCTATTTCCACTTACAACTCTTACATAGTTATATTGGTGTATTCAGTTCCTTAGTGTTTTGGGGGCCGAACACATTAGTTACCACTAGCAAGCAAGATGTCGGAAGTGGCTCAGCTTTGTTCTAGATTCAACACATCTTTGTAATACCTGTTTTGAGACCCCTATTATACTAGTATTAGGCTGCCCGCACCAGTGCGGGTCGAACGTAATAATTTTTATCTCAATTTACATGACACTAGTAGAAAATTTACAGAGTCAAGTAAATTTTTTGTATGTGTTTTTTAAAAAAATATCTATTTTAAATTGTTCATTTATAGTTATTTAGAGTATCTTTTATGACAATTTTAAAATAATATATGTTACTCCTTTTGTTCCATTTTACGCGAGACAAGTGATTTTAGAAAAGTTAACGTAAATTCTTATATGATTCACACACATTTTTAATTGTTATTTTATTGTGATTCCTAGTGCTTTTTACGTATTTTTAAACAACATATATTACTTTCTTTTTCTTTCGATATGAAATTAGAGAGTCAATCAAATTTTCTATATAATTTTTAACTATGTTTTTTTATTTACTTTCATGTAAAATAAATGTATCATTTCTGAACATATCCACTGCCTTAAGAGAAGAGTGAGACTCTAATTAATGGCAAAAACGATTTTAAAAATTTAAATTTATATATAAAATAAATTAATTTGGAATTTCTTATGCAAATTATGTGGGTTATTAATAGTTTGTATTGGTTGATGGAGATATTTTTTAAGTTACTAATTATTGTAATTTATAGTATTTTTTATGAACATTTGAGGTTATTAATTTATTGTGAGTAGAAGTACTTTTTGAGCGTCATTCTTAAATAATATATATTATTCATGTTTCAATTCACGTGAATAATCATAAATATTTTCAGTTGTTAATTCATTGTGAATTCTAGAATTTTTGACGTTATTTTCAAATAATACACGATACTTCTATTATATTAATTAACTATCCAAATTTCTAATCTAATTTAAAAATATTTTCAGTTGCTGATTATTGTAATTTATAGTATTAATAATATATTTTATTTGAATTCATGCGACAATGATAAAATTTTAAGAATCAATTAATTTTTTTTAAAAAATAATTTCTTTCTGCTATATATGTAGCTAACATATAATTAATGAAGTAATTAAATTTCTAAAATGTTTTATTTTTCTAGGAAGAAATAAAGTGGGAAAAAATAAAAAAGAAATTGTGGAGGAAGAAATAAAGAAGGAAATGAGAATTATTATGGGCAATTGAATGATTACGTGAAAACGGTAAAAAGAAGGGCCCACATTTTCGGCTTGAGGTAAAGCCAAAGGAAAAGATGGGCGGACTTTTATGTCCAATAAAGGAAAAAGTGCAATTATAAAGCAGTGAAACACAATCCCGTTTTTGCATAATGTTGAGGAAATTCCCTTATTATCCCTGGCTAGGGAAGCAAGCATGCTGACGAACAGTTGCTTCCCTTAGCCACTTCTATATAGTAGTAATAACCCTTTGGAAACATTAGCCGTATAAATTGTAACATTAACATGAATCATAATGGTTAGTGCAAAAATAAGCTTTTCCAAAACATGAGTGTCGAATGACAAGCAAAAAAGTCAGTTGTGCCATGAAAGCCAAGCAATTGTCAAGTGGTGAAACGTTTGCCCAACTTAATATTGAACTAATTGTTGAAACTTGAAAGAGAAATAATAGTGCCTCTCGCTTGTATCTTATTTCATTTGATTCTTTTATTGTGCAGACTAAGAAATATGATTCGTTACAAAATCAACAAACATTGTATTCTTTTGAAATTACAATTATTTTAAAAAATATTTTTTATTACATTGAATCTCAAATATATTTCATAGAGAAATCAAACAAAAGTAAAATTATGATAAAATTTTAAACGTTGGGCCCGTGTTTAGCACAGACAACACTCATCTAGTTATAGTACTAAATACTTTGTTTACCTAAAGCACTAGTCGGCCTCTCTATTAATTGTGTCATCATCGCTAAAAATCATTTTTGAGTTAATGACTCAAGATAGGAATCCTAATTATTATTATGACTAATTATAGGATTGCTAGAAATAGTTCACAATTAATTCTAATGCTATCATCTTTTACTACTAATTAAATTAATTGTAAAAATCACCTCCTTTAGTTATATAATTATGATTTGAATAATCTAAATAATCATTTTAAAATCTATTAAAAAATATTTCACAAAATAAAATGTTTTAACACTCAAAAGGACCTCGTTACATCAGATTCTTCATCCACTTTATGATGCTTGCTTCCACTTTACTATTTTCATTGTTGTATTTAGTAACTATTGAGAAGAAATTAATTAGTACATTTGACACTTTTCACTTTCGAAAAAGGTCTAATAAAGTAATAATGGACTAATATTAAAAAATAAAATAAAAATTTAACTTACTCTTTTATCCATCTTCTTTAAGAAGCTTCATTTGATCTCAGGGAGTTTTACATAATTATCAGACCCCCTTTTTCACATTTGATTCCTTGATGTGAAAAGAAATGAAGAAAATGAGCAAGTTTAAAGAACATGTTTGGATGGGTTTATTGTTTTTGCCTTACCAGCCAAAAGTTATAAATTAAAATTAAAAATTTATGATTAAATTTATTTTAATCTTTGACTTAAAAATAAGTACTTATAAATATTTTATTTTTAAATTTGATCAAACATATTAAAATGTGCAAAAATTATTTTAACGTAAAACACTTGATATAGATCAATTCAATATGTAGAGGTAGATAATGCAACAGTAAAAAAAAAAATTCTCTTCTGGATCTATGATATCTTCCTCTCTTTTTTTTTTTGGTTATTGGGTGCGTTATATATATATATATACATATATACTTTACCGAAAATTTTCTAAATAATTAAAAGAATCCAACCCACCCTTTTCCACCTTTCTAAAAATTAAGGGCGTGTTTGGTAAGGAAGGAAATGTTTTCCTAGAAAACAAGTGTATTTCTAATTTATTTACTCGTGTTTGGTTGGAGAGATTATATTTTTTAATGTTTAGTTGGTAAATAAAAAAATAGTTTTCAGAAAATATCTGGATTGAGACTAAAATATATTAATCTTTAGAAAAATAATTTCTAATCTAAAAATTAACCCCAACAATTATCTAGGACCTGATCCGACACCCAAAACAGGACATGACCCCGATGATGGTTCAAAATCCTACACTAAAATCTATCCCAGGACCTAATCTAGGAAAAAGATCAATTTTTTAAGAAAAATAATTTGGACAGGGTCGGGCGGCGTGGCGGCTAGGGGATGGGGTAGGGGTTGTGATGGCATAAAAAATAAAAATTTTAAAAATTTGAAATAATTTCAAAAATAATTTTTTTTTTAAAAAAAAAAATTGATGGAGATGGCCTGGGTGGGGTGTGGGGGGAGGATGGGTAGGGCAACTGGTGGCGTAAAAAATGAAAATGTTTTAAATTTGAAATATTTCTCAAAAATAATTTTATGTCAAAAGATAAAAAGTAAGGGGAAATTTATCTTTGATTTTTGACTTATTTTAAGTCATATTTTACTTATGTTAAGTTATTGTTTATTTTGTTAAACACTTTCTAACTTATTTTAAGTCATGTTTGACTTATTTTAAATTATTTTTTATATTTACCAAACACTTCCAAAAGTTAAAAATTGACTTAAAAATTAGTTTAATCGACGTTTAATGAAGTTAATTCAAACACGTCTTGAAAGTGACTTTCACAACTTTCTGATATAATAACTTATAATTAAGTAATGATCGGAGAAATCACCTCTATTAGCTTTACCTAAAGCAAAAATTCAGCCTAACTCTCCATAAGGTTGTTTCATTATTTTATCTTAATATGTGAGAAAAGCTTGAAATTAATTATATTATTTGTATAACTTGTAATATCTAGATTTTATTAGTTTAAAAATGTAGTTCCATAGTTGAGTAAGATGATCCTTGATAAATGGAAGTAACAATGTGACGCTGAGAATCGCAATGTTTGAAAAAGACATGAAAATTTTGATAGTGTATATTCAAGTTTCAATAATTTATCATACTTTTTATTTCCCTTTATTGC